TTTTTTTTTTTTTTTTTTTTTTTTTTTTTTCAGTTTTTGTGATGGAAACTCAGCCATGGTCACCTTTTTAAAACCCTGTTCTTGTTGTGCTGGTATGTCAAATAAAGCCGTTTGTGTGAAGAGTCGAATTGCCGTCAATGACAGAAACTCCCTTTCCAAACACCCTCTGGTTGTTCTGGTACAGAAAATAAGTCATTTGTGATTTTGTTCACTTTTCCCAGCTCTCAGGAGCCTTGGAGCGGGGGATCCACGTGGTTTTTGTGTGTACAAGTCTATCATTGTCCGTTTAAATTTCACACTTCAGGGAGGAGGAGATTTTAACCAGTTTTCTCTTTTAAGACCTTCGGAGAGCTGTTTGAAGGTTCAGGTTTGATTTGTAGGAGCTGAGTCAGAATGATTAATTATGACAGATCAGGTCCTCCTAAAGCATGTGTACCTGAATAATAATAGCAGTGCTTTCATCCACTGTGATCACGGTGTAGTTGTGGATCCCTCCGAGCATCTGCAGGGTTGGACAGTGGCTCCTCTCCAGCACATTTACACTGAAGCTGTAACGCAGACACTTGAACTGCACTAGTTTAAATGAAACCTCCGCAGGTTACAAACATTATTTAAAGCCTTGGATTCAGCACAAACACTGACTCACATTTAACACTATTTTTTTCTGTTGTCTGAATCTGAGAAGAGGAATGCTAACTTCTCTTGCACCCCCTCAATGATTTATAGCAAAAAAACAAGTATAGTCGACAGTGTAGCAGCACTCCTGTTTTAGGCAAGTAAAGAAACTTCATCCAGCCTTAAAGTTGAACAAAATGTGCATCAGGGTCTTTCTTCAAAAAGCTATTCTTCTATCCAGCCATATTTTATTCTGACATTCATGTTGGTCGGGGTAAATGCAGGAATTTTCCTCTGTTATTGTTTGAATGGAGCAGGACGCTCACCTTGACTCGAGTGTCAGGAGCAGCATCGGGCAGTTAAGAAGCCCCTCGGTCACTAAAACTGTGAAGGGAACGTTGTCCTCCAGACACCACAAGGATTTCTCTGCATCTTTAGAGAAAGATAAAAACAGGCATTCTGAGAAGAACCAACATCCCGTTAAACTGAATAATTTCTCCTCTGGCAGCAGACCATCGGCGATGCTGGTGGTGAAAGAGAGGTGGTTGAGGCTCCTCTCACTGCAGACCGAGGACCACGGAGACGGGCCCGGACGGTCGAACTCAACCACCAGAGAGAAACAACTCCAAGGGAAGTCTGGGCCGATATGTTGCTCAAACACCACCACACAGTTACTGTCGTGAACACTAGTTGAACAAGAAAACAAAAGTTTTTAAAAAATCATCCCAGAACAGGAACAGCAACATGTTCCTTCACCAAGAGATTCAGTTCTGCAGCCCAATGCTCCTACCCAATAAACAATGAAGTACAACTTTGTTTTGAATTTATTTTAAAAAAATAAGTAGTACTTTAAATTAGGGAAGTACAGTATTATTAGTCTATCATCAATATCTGACAATAAATGTGACCTGGTTATGGCTAATTTCAGACCCGTAGCTCTAAAAGAATCACATCCAGGCTTATTAAAGTAGGATCAAGTCCACAGTTTTACTAATAATGTGCACAAATAACGAACAATGACCATGCAGTACAAAAAATATTTCTATTATGAGAGATGAGTCAAGTGCCAGCAACAGCCAAAATAATATCTGACGTCAAAGAGAACACTACTGTGCATACCTAACATAAAAATAAATATTATATTTTGTTTTAGTACAGAAATATATATATATATATATAAAAAAAGAAATCTGTTTACTAGTAAAAAATTGGGAATACATGACAAATTGTGCTTAATAAACCCAAAGAAACAACTGTTATATTTTACCTGCTAACCACACCGGCACCGTTCAGCTTATTGATGTTTTCATCCGGACAAACTGAAGTCACAGCAGCACCTGAAGCGACGACACAAGCAAAGTTAACTCTATAATACAGGCTTTATTATTATCATCGGAGTGCACATTAAGCACAAAATCTGCTGTAAAGTTTGAGTTGTGTTCATAAATGGTGAGTTTGGACTCTTGTGACCACAGAACTCTGACCAACATTAACTGAACATTAATGAGTCGTGCTGTTAATTATGCAGTAACAGAAATGTTTAAAGGGTACAGCTCACCATTCACTTGACTCAAGCAGCTGATGATCAATGATCTGCTTTCATCAGAATCTACTGATAGCATGATAAGAATCTACAGCAAGACAAAACCAACAGGATTTACCAGGTGGCTCACAAACGATCATCATAAGCCAAAATAAAAACTTGTTAAAAACAACCAAAGTGTTTCTGTGTTGCTGTAAAAACTGACTTTTTCTGCAGAGTTGTTTCCTTTGACGTTAAGCAGCCAATCAGCCAGCAGCTGCTGCAGCTCCAGCAGTTTGAAGTCCGCTTCTTGTTTCCTGTGACTGAGGAAGAGGATGATCTGGAGCCTCTTCAGCAGCTGCTTCAGACTCTGCTCAGCACACACCTCAGCCGCCTCGGTCAGGTACTCTTCAGTAAGGAGAGGATCATAAAAGTTGTAAATTAGGACGCTACAATAAATTTGTTTGGCTTCATCTCGAGTGATGAGATCTCTTGGTGAAGTTTAAAAAAAAAAAATCGGTTTTGGTCTCTTTACGTCAGTTTTATATTCAGGCACAGATGTTAAAGTTTAAATGCACAAACACAACATAATAAAAGCAGCTGTCTCTACGTTTCCAGCACTTTTACTGTGATGTAATCAAATTACAGAAGCTAAAGCATCGTTTAGCCGATGTTCATACTGGGGCTGTAAAATCAGGAGCAATGGTATTTCATACTGACCCAGAGCAGTACCCAGACCACACTTCAGCAGCAGCTCTTTGAACGTCACCAACACGTGAATCAGAGCAGCCTGGTTGAAAAGCAGCTCCTGATCTGCAGATGAATAATAAAGCACAAGTGTCAATTTAACTGTTTAAATTACACGGATAAGACCATAAATAAAACTCAAACGAGACATTTTAAACCTTTGACCAGCTCCGTGCACTCTGCTGGAGCCCTGCAGAGGGCCCTCTCCTGCTGTTTGAGGAGGAAATGAGTTTGGTCTGGAGCCAAACAGCTGAAATCTCCCCATGAGGGGAAGTTGAGCCCCATTTGTCTGGCAGAAGTCAAAAAAGGCTGAGCGAAGGCCAGCAGCTCACGGTAGGCACGCTGCTGGCTGTCTGCAAAGGAGCACAATTTAAAACCACATTTCTAAACACAACCTGATTAAACTTTTTCAAAAAAACCACTGGTGGTACTAAACAGTAACAATTTGATTCGAGTGTGGTGAATGTCACACCTGTAGCCTGAATTTGCACAACTCGGCTGTAATGTTTGTCCTGAGAGTTTGACTGACCGGCAGGACAAGGAATAAACAGACTCGTCCTCTGAGCAGCAGGTTTCTGCTCTCTGCTGGCGTCTCCTGACGCAACAATGCTCACGTACTCTGACCTCCTGTCAGGCGTCTCTGCCTCCTCCAGAGGAGGACGCTGCTCCTTCTGTGGTGTTTGTTGGCACATCTCCAATGCTGGGATGAAAAGAACGAGGTGGAAACGCAGTATAAAACTTTAAAAGTTGGTTGTTCCTAAACTGTGTGCAGGTAATTGTTTTATAAATGATTATTTTCAAAAGACCAAATGTATTTATGTATTAATCCACTTCTAATCATTGAGTTAGGTACTCTGCTGTAGAACTAGAGGAGAAAAGTGCATAAAATTCAGCCTAAATGAGAAGAGAAAACATCTTAAGAGGAACAAAGAATTATGAGACCTTCAGTGTTGGCTGAGTTTGGAGGTGTTGCATCAGCTGGAGGCGCCTGCAGGGATCTCAGCGTGATGAAGGCAGACAAAGGGTCAAGATCATTTTCTGGTTGACGTCTTGTGCACATCAGACTCTTTGGGTTATATTTTACATTTGACCTGGAGGACAGATTCAGCTCAGGTTTTTGGAAGCTCGTCATGGTTTTAAAGTCAACGTCAGCTGATTTGATTGTGTGTGCTTGAGCAGACGACTCAACCACAGCTCCTGAAAACTTGTTTTCTAAAAGCTCCTCTTTGGTGCCGACAACGGTAGAGAGTTTTTCTTTATTATTTGTGACGACAGCTTGCATCAAAAAGGAGCTCTGAGATGAATCCATGCTGGTTTCTTGGTGGATTAGACCAATATTCTGAAAATCCAGAGCAATGGATTCTAGTAAAATCAGAGAAGAAGAAATGAACATGAAGCTGTAACTTGTATCTTTTTTTTTGCATTTATTTAATAACTGCAAACTTGTGTTTTTCTTGAGCTGCAACTCTAATTCCTTGTTCAGTAAACCACAAAGACGTTAATGCAGACCCTCACCCTCTGACTCTTCAGGTAACAGTTTCTCGAAGTCCTCCATCTCATAAGCCCAGGTCCTGATACTGTCAGACATCATGTTCTCAGTGAACTCACGACTGTGGCCTGAAAACACCTGTGGGATTCCCAACTCCTCCTGCAACTCCAGTTTGTCACCAGCACCACCGAAGCTTTGCTTTTCTAATTTAAAAGCTGACAAGGCTTCACTCAGAGGCTGGAAGTCAAAGGCTGGTTCTTGTACATAAGGCTCTGCGAGAAAAGACAGCAGAGTTTATTGTCATTCTCATATAAAAAGGCTGATCTGTCTAAATGTGACAGAACGACAGTTCACACAATTCGGCTTTAGGGTTTATGGTCAAATATTTGACGTAAAACAATCAATTCAATAGTTTAAGTCAAACTTAAGGGGAACAACTTTACAAATGTCAGGACTTTCTGATCAATGTGAAAAGTTTGAATAATTCTGCCTTTCTCTGACAAATTTGTAAAACACAAAGAGAAAATAATTTGCATAAATAGGTTAAAAATAGAATTTTGTGATCATTTGATTGTTTCTAATACTAATAAATAGAGAGGCAGAAACACAATCTCTCTGTGGTTGAGCATCAAAACCACTAAGTCCTATTAACAACAAAGTCCATGCTCAATAATCCAGGTATACAATCCAACATTT